TAATTACCTGTCCTCCAACATGTGGCTTCCAAGCTCACTTGGTAATGGCGCCCAACTAGTATCTGAGGGGCACGAGCTCGTATCCCGTAAAAGCCTGTTTTCTTTTAACCTCTCTTCTGCGCTTATCCTAAATGAAGTTAATCCGTGAGGATTATCTATTTACTTGTATTACTAGAAATGACACTGATGTATAATGACTGTGCAAGAATTTCAAAACAAGTCCGCCAAGCTGCGATTTTTATTTGAAATGTTACATCTCAGTTATACTGAAAAAAATCAGATTACTCGAATTAAAGTGATTTCGATAAGTTAATTTGAATCTTTTGTGTCTCACATTGATAATTAAAGTTTTGAAAATCGTTTATGAAGGGGATCGTAAAGTGACCTCTCGTTACTCACGCCATCCATTGAAAAGAAAGTGGGAGGTGATAATAAAGAAACACTAAATATGAAATCACATATAATTTCTTTGCCACAGGAAAAGAATTTCGTGCCCTATTCATCAGCACTGTACGCACATCCCTCACCTTTCCACAGTTTCGCAGACGTAATGATGAAAGATTCTACGGGGAATTTTTTTCTGATCAGAAACTGTTAAATACGGCGGTAACCAGGGCTGTCTTTGGTAACAGTCGTTGGAGATGCTGTCTCCTTGTGTACTGTTGGTGAGTGTACGAGTAATTGGCGGGATTTCATCACAAGATGTAACCAAGAAGGATCTCTGTTTGGAACTTCATATGCAGTGCTAGAGAGAGCTATAGCTACCCCTCTTTCTAAGATTTTTCTAAACCCTGACGCAGCCGTTTTCGTTCCAAGAGGCGACGGAGGGCTCAAACCGCTGGTGCGCGATCATCCGCCAGGAGAGGGAGATACGCAAACCATCGGGTTGGAAGAAGAAAGTTCAGCCGAGCACGGTCTCGAGAGTCCAATGACCGTATCAGGGAGTAAAACAGATCTCCTAAAGAAACATTTGACGGTGAAAGAGGTTTCATCTAAGGTAGAAGAGAAGCAGAAAGAAGATGGGTCTTCGGGGCAATATTCGCAAGATGATTTATTTCCACACCAAGAGGCCGAAGATGATGCAGAGCCTAGTAATCTGATCCCTTTTGAAGACTTTCGGCGGGAAGGTTGCGAAGACGAAACAGTGCTTCCAAGCTCCTATGACAAATTAATTGAGGCACTCGTCGCAAAGAAAAAAGAAACTCAGGAGAGGGAGCTTCAACAATCAATAAAGAATGAAGAATATCCCTCACTGAGGAATGCAGAGTCGCTAAAACGAAAAGGATCCAAAGTGAAGAGTGATTCTGACAAACGGAGCAATCGAGTTTATTCCAATTGTTCTGGTCTTTCATCTAACGACTATCAATCCTTCATTGATAGCTTGGTCAACTTCGAGTATCATCGACAGCATTCTGATCGACATAGTAGACCAACTGGACCCGTCAAGCAAGACGAATACCTTGACCGAGAGGTATTACTGAGACAGATGCGTGAACAACCTGAGGCTTATCGTGCTGCTACACTTCAACTCGATTCCGAGGCTTTCAACATGACTTACGCTATTGTTCCGGACACAAAAACACCAGACATACGAATCAGAGGACGAACAAGAAGGGTTTTCGACATGGATGATGTTGTCGTAAATATAGCAGAAAATCAGTCAATTTGCATGGATGAAATTCCTCGCTGTCAAGGAAAAATTGTCGGTAAGTTTATCTCAGTTCCTGTCGTAATTTGGCTTTCTGTAAAATGGATCTGAAGGTGCACTACAGGAAAAGAAACTTACTGCTTATTATTCTGCAAATAAGATTTATTGACTGTGGCTTATTATTGTCTATCCTTTTTATAGGTGTGCTTCATCACATCATCAACCCTCATGAACGACAGTTTGTATGTAAGGTCAACTACGAATATCCGGATTTGATGCTTCCAATCAATAAGTCCATGTCAAAAATTAAAATCTTATCTGCGGAAGGTGTTAAGGGTGTGCCCCTCTACAAGGAAATACGAGATGGCAGCGAGAAGAAAGTAAAGGTTTACGAGATCGACCACGAAGAATTCGTTAGTGAGAAATACCTATTCCTCGTGCAGTTTCTACAGTGGAGGTCAGATTGTACTTACCCTTTAGGCATCATTATTCGAAAATTGCCAAAACAATATACTAGGAAGGCTAGTATGGAGATTCTTCTGGCAGAGTATGGAATTAGAAAGTCATTCCGCGATGATTGTGAAAGACAAGTGCGAACGAAGTTCCCCTCCTCGTGGTCAATACCACCTCAAGAAAGAAAGAGCCGCGAAGTAATCAAAGGAGCGTTTACAATCGATCCTGAAAACTCTAAGGATCTCGATGATGCTCTTTCCTTGCAACGTCTGTCGCGCTCTGTGTACCGAGTAGGAATTCACATTGCGGACGTGAGTTACTTTGTAGAGGCCGGTAGCCACTTGGATAAAGAAGCATTATTTCGCTGCATATCCTACTACCCTGGGCAGGAGTATCCAAATGTTCCAATGTTACCACCTGAGCTCAGTGAAAAACATTGCAGCCTTCTTCCTGGGAAAGATCGTTTATGTCTATCAGTGTTGCTTGACATGTCAGAAGATGGAAAATGCTTGGGAGAGCCACAGATAAAGCGCACAATTGTAACCTCCTCCCATCAGCTCACGTACTCTGACGCCCAAAAAGTAATTGATGCTAAACAAAGCTCTCAGAAGCAGTTCCCTGAAAGTGTTGAAAGTGATATCCAGGCCCTGAGCGTCCTTGCNTCAGATTGTACTTACCCTTTAGGCATCATTATTCGAAAATTGCCAAAACAATATACTAGGAAGGCTAGTATGGAGATTCTTCTGGCAGAGTATGGAATTAGAAAGTCATTCCGCGATGATTGTGAAAGACAAGTGCGAACGAAGTTCCCCTCCTCGTGGTCAATACCACCTCAAGAAAGAAAGAGCCGCGAAGTAATCAAAGGAGCGTTTACAATCGATCCTGAAAACTCTAAGGATCTCGATGATGCTCTTTCCTTGCAACGTCTGTCGCGCTCTGTGTACCGAGTAGGAATTCACATTGCGGACGTGAGTTACTTTGTAGAGGCCGGTAGCCATTTGGATAAAGAAGCATTATTTCGCTGCATATCCTACTACCCTGGGCAGGAGTATCCAAATGTTCCAATGTTACCACCTGAGCTCAGTGAAAAACATTGCAGCCTTCTTCCTGGGAAAGATCGTTTATGTCTATCAGTGTTGCTTGACATGTCAGAAGATGGAAAATGCTTGGGAGAGCCACAGATAAAGCGCACAATTGTAACCTCCTCCCATCAGCTCACGTACTCTGACGCCCAAAAAGTAATTGATGCTAAACAAAGCTCTCAGAAGCAGTTCCCTGAAAGTGTTGAAAGTGATATCCAGGCCCTGAGCGTCCTTGCACAGAAGAGAAGAAGGTTAAGACTCGGAGAGGCTAGCTTTGATCATTGGTTACACAGTGATGAGCCAGAATGTTATGGAGCACACGAGTTAGTGGAGGAAATGATGATTTTGGCAAACGAGAAAGTAGGTCAACTTCTTCTCGCTAATATTCCGGAGGTGGCACCTTTGCGTACCCAACTGCCACCCAAAGATTACAAATTGAAAGATTGGTTGAGTCGATACGGGCGTTTTATCAAGTGTTCTCTGTTTCTCCGTGGCAAACAACACCTCGAGAAGATGACCGACAACGACCAAATGAAAGAGGTCAGGGAATTCAAAGTGCCAGATTCCGTTTGGTCAGAAATCTGCAGCGCCGTCGAATCTGATGACAAAGCGAAGCTGCAGCAGCTAATTTTTGAACAGAGAAATTATCCTCAGCTGGCTGTTGCAAATTGTCAGTTTCAACGTATTCAGCAGAAATCCTGTTACGTTTGCGAAAGAGGGGATCCACAAGAAAACAGTTTCCATTTCTCTCTGGAAGAGCACGGCTATACCCATTTCACCTCGCCCATTCGACGATACATTGACATCCAAGTACACAGACTCGTCTTGGATTTAATCTCCAATCACCACGGTGCAGAAAGATATCGGAAGGATTACGTGGCTAAGGTGTGTCGCCGTTCCACGTTTGCTCAGCGCAACAGTAAGAAGTTTGACAGAGCAAGTAGTAAAGTCAATTTGGCTGCGAAGCTTAAAGAAGCAAGCCGCGAAACAAAAGCAGTCATCGCAATGATTGAAGAGAAGAGAATTAGGTTGGAAATAACAAGCCGCGAATACTATCATTTGTCAAAAAGAGAGAGAGAAATTAAATTCAGCGATGTCAACCTATATGATTTCATACTACATGATTCGGAAATAGTCTTTATCTGGAAATTAAGGCTTTACATTGCTCCGAAAGTGAGTGAGTCACTGCAGGACTACATCGAACACCCAGAAATCGAAAGAAATAAAGTTGCTTCCCTGCTAACTGAGGGATTGGTTGGTACCAAAGAATTCGTAAGCGTAGAGGTGAAAAAGTGGATAAAGCTCTTGAAAGCAGTTCTTCT